TTTGGGGGGTTCCGTTTAAGGGTTCCTTAAAGGGTTCTATAAGGGCTTTAGGGTATAGGGGCCTAATAGGGTTTTTTGGGCTCCTTATTGTAAGTGTAGGAGACTATACCCCAAACCCTATTCTACTACTTCAGGCCCCTATATTAGGTCTGGGTGGTGTGCCGCCTCATGAGCGGCGCGGAGCTCGAAACCCTAAACCCTAAACTCTCAACCCTAAACTCTAAACCCTAAAGTCTAAACCCTAAACCCTAAACCCACCATATGCGGCCCGAAGGGCAGGCCCTCGCTGCAAAGCCGTCCACCCGCAGAAGCACTGAGGCAATGACCGCCCCGGAAATCAACACCTGATGTGAATGAGTGCGAAGCCCAAAACCCTAAACTCGAACTCCGAAGCACTAAGCCCGTCAAGTTAGGCTGCTCAGGTGACGTGCCCTCCTGGCTACTATGGAGTAGGGCCCACCACAGGCCAGCTTCCGTGGGGTTCAGGGCTTGGGATTCCATTATTTGGGAGTTTAGGGTTTAGGATGCAGGATCCCATTATTTTGGGGGTTTAGGGTTTGGGACCCTTCTATTTGGCGGTTAAGGGTTCAGGGTTTGCGATCCTACTTTTTGGCGGTTTCGGGTTTGGGGTTTAAGATCCTACTATCCGGCCTGGTAGGGTTTAGGATCCTGCTTTGAGTGTGCGCTTAATACTTTGTAAGCCCCAAACCTTGAAACCCTGAACCCTGAAGCTAGGTAGGTAAGCAAGTAAAACAGTAGGTAAGTAAGTGAGCAAGTAAAGTAGCTAGCTAGCTTCGTTGCAGAAACTCTCTGAGTGCCGGTGATGTGTTCAGAGAGACAGATATTCGTCCTATGGCTAGCATGAGCTGTCTCTTTCAGAGACGATCGGCATGATCACATCAAACAGTGGCTCTACTCGCATGTAGCACCACTCAGAATCGTTGCATGGAGTCAAGACAGTCGTGACAAAAGTACTATTGCTGACACTGCTCATGTAGTATTACTGGTGGCAGCTGGTAGGGAGAGTGGCAACAGTATTCTGGTCTTTCACGGTTGCTCATGGTTCCCATGAAGTAGCAGGCAAAATCTCATCAGTGGCAGACAGACAACTTAATGCCTGCGATTACCAGGAGAATAGCAACATCAGTCACATGGGGAAAAAATAAGCAGAACCCCAATGGTATAGCTGTAGCAATTGCTGTCGAGGTGGTCGTAGCAAGGACTGACATGAGTAGCAGCAGATGTAGGAATGACTGATGGGGACTTAGTAGACAAGGTTATAAGTCCTTTATAGGGTTATAAGTATAGTTACCTTAGTTATAACCCTACTTACTAAGTCCCATGATCCTTTAAGTAGCACTGACTGCAAATGTCATCACTAATAGTCACTAATTGCATCAGCTCTGTCCGCAGCTGTAGTTGTAGTGCTGGGGGAGCTCATCATGAGTAGTATCCGTAGCAAAGTACCAGGGGTGAAAGTTCAGTGGCCGTGATAACCGAACCAGAGTGGCAGCAGCAGCAAACAGCAAGACAGGCGTTTTTTTTTTCAAGTTTAGTTTCCCGTCTTCGCACATGAACAGACAGGATTACGGTGGCCCGACAGGCTAATAATGCCTAGTACTATAGAAGCTTAAATAACCGCCAATATTGTTCCTTAGGTTCCTTCTCATATTTATACTATACAGGAGCCCAAAACCCCATTCTAATTATTACGGTCCCTACATTACACTGTTCCACATAGGCGAACTTTGACGAGGCTCCTTCGCCAATGCCAAGACCGTTATCTTCAACGCTTCAGCCGGAACAGCAAACTGTCAACCCTGAACCCTCGACCCCTCCAAAACTAAACCTTAAGCCCTAAACTCCCTAACCCCTGACTCAACCCGCCCACTAAACCTTACCCGGAGGATCATGGGACTTAGTAAGTAGGGTTATAAGTCCCCTAATTGGGGTTATAAGTATAGTTGCCCTAATTATAATCCCAATTATTAAGTCCCATGACCCTCTAAGTACCCTGGTCCCTAAACCCTAAACCCTAGACCCTAAACCCTAAACCCTAAACCCTAAACCGCGTGTGGCGGTCAGGTCGTCGATGTGGCCCCTGCACGCGTGGCTTTCACTGCGCGGGAGGTTCCTGCCGATGCTTTGGGGATTTTGGGGGTTTAGGGTTTAGGGTTTAGGGAAGTTCCTGCCGATGTTTTAGGGATTTTAGGGGTTTAGGGTTTAGGGTTTGGGGAAAGTTTTGGGATGGGAAGGATGGGAGGAGACATGTGTACTCTTTGAAGTCGAGGTGGCTTACTGCAAGCACTTTTTTATGATAGATAAACAGTGAACTACACAAGGAATCTGGTAAGTCAACCAGGATTGAAACAAGACAATGTTTCCGAAGAAAAAGTAAACAGCAAAAGTATGGTACATATATACATATATATATATAGGTATGTACGTACACATGCTCTCTATCTATGTGTGTGTGTGTATGTGTGTATATATATATACACGCATATACGCATGTAATATACACGCACATGCACAATTCGACAAACAGGTGAACATGGCCAAATGTGAGAACAAATGTCAGCATCACTACCAACGTAACTATTCTTTACATAGACCACCCAACACCTCTTTATCTATCCATCTATCTGTCCACCGCTCGATCCATCTGTCTGTCTATCTATCCATCTATAGTGACCAGGGCCGAAGTACTCTTCAAGCCCTATATCCCAAACCCTCAACCCTCAACCCTAAACCCTAAACCCTAAACCCTAAACCCTAAACCCTAAACCCTAAACCCTACACCCCAAGCCTCTAAACACTAAACCCTAAACCCTCAACCCTTAAACTCGAAACTCTGCGGATCTTAAGCCCTAAGCCCCAGGCCTCCGGAAACCCTAAAGCCTAGGGCCTAGGGTTAAGGTTTATAGTAGGGTTTAGGGTTTAGGGTTTAGGGTTTAGGGGTTAAGGGTTTGGGTCTAGGGTTTAGGATTCGGACCCCGGAACCCTAACACTAGCCCAAGACCCGATTAGACAACTCTTACAAAGCCCTTGTGCGACGACGCTCGGGACGCACCCCTGCAAGACTACAAACTAGCCCTTTCCCTTGTGAAACTCGATCAAGATTCAAGATCCCAAGCAACAGGTTGGACCTAGATGAGCCTAGAATCTCGTATTCCGGATGTCGGGTGTAAGAGGTTTTTGCGGTTTGCAGCGTCTGGAGGTTTGGGGGTTGAGTTTCAAAGATTTTAGTTCAGGGTGTCGGGTTTAGGGTTCAGGATTTAGGGCTTCAGGTTTTAGGGTCTAAACCGCTGCGTATGCATTAAACTAAAATTTTAGGATTTAGGGTTCAGGGTTTCGGGTTTAAACCCGCAAGACAGCGCAGGACGACATTCGGCTTGGGTTCTATCGCCGAATGTTTTCAAGCCTCGCTGCCTTCCCAATACCCATGAGTTGTTTTTTTGACTTGTCGTATGGGCTTGATGAGGATTTCATCAGGGTTTCGTAATTAAGGCTGTGCGGGTGCCTCGGGTTTACTCAAAGGGTTTCGGACACCTAGTAAGGGGTGCTGCATGTACGGCAACTACGCTCAGAACCCAAATACGGTACTTAGGCCCAAACTCATAACTACTCATAACCTAAACCCTAAACCCTAAACCCTGAACTACTCATAAGTCTAGACCGGAAACCTTCACAGCTGGAACCCTAGACCCTAAACCCGACTAATCCCTACTTGGAGGATCATGGGATTTGGTAAATAATGTTAAAAGTCCTTTGATTAGGGTTAGAAGTATAGTTACTTTAGTTATAACCCTACTTACTAAGTCCCACTTTAAGTAGGCCCTAAACCCTGAACAAGAAGAAGCCCTCCAGCCTGAAAAAGCCTTTGACAGCAATCTCCCCAAACACCCATACCCGAGAACGCCAAACAAATCGCGGGGGGAACGGAGAGGCGAAGTGAACGTTGCGACGCGCTCCCCGGCATGAAGGATCAGAACATGCAAGTGTTCAGGGCTCCCAGAACCCTAAACCAAGCTGGCCGTTCATGCTCGGATTTTCCTCGTAGTATCGGTGCGAGTTCAGAAGTAATCCTCCCTCGAGCATTGGGCTCTCTAATTTTGCGGCCTTGTGGCGGGGGGCTGAGTTTAGGATTTCCAGTTCTTTAAAGCCATAAAGCCCCTAAACCCTAAACCCTAAACCCTAAACCCTAAACCCTAAACCCTAAACCCTAAACCCTAAACCCTAAACCCTAAAGCCATCAAAAGCCAACTCGCCGAAACCCCACATCCTGAAGCCCTAGAGCCCTGAAAACCTAAGCCCTAAAGCCCTGAATGCCTCAAGCGGCGAAGCCCTGGAAGCCAACAACCCTAAAGCTCTGAGCCCCTAAAGCCCTAACCCTAAACCCTAAACCCTAAGCCCAAAACCTCTGAAATCCAAAGGCTCTGAAAGCCCCGGTGCCGCCGAGGTATCGCCTGCGGGCCGGATCAGACGACCCGAACCTCTGGCGCTGCCGCCTGGCTTGGTACTGGGAGGATCATGGGACTTAGTAAGTAAGGTTATAAGTCCCTTAATTGGGATTATAAGTATAGTTACCGAAATTCTAACCCTACTTACTAAGTCCCATGGTCCTTTAGGTAGCCTTGCGCCTGTTTGGGGGCTTAGGGGTTGAGGGTTTAGCGGTTGAGGATTTAGGGTTTAGGGTTGAGGGATCGGGGTCTTGGGCTCAGGGTTTAGGGTTTAGATTAGGGTTTTTTGGGTTTAGGGGTTGACGGTGTAGGGTTTAGGGTTTAGGGTTTAGATTAGGGATTTTTGGGGTTTAGGGGTTGAGGGTGTAGGGTTAAGGGTTTAGATTAGGGTTTAGATTAGGGTTTTTTGGG